TACAATTTGTTGTATGTGAAAAATGCCATTTTTTAACTAATTTAGAAAGTATATCTAATAATTCACAAGCAAGTTGTTGTGAATGTAAAACACTATTAAAAAAACCGATTAGAACAAGCAAAGAAAAAATAATTTACAAACCAATTAAAGTATATCTATATCAATCAATTTTAAGTCAATTAGCTACTTTATTGCAACGACCTGGTTTTGAAGAATTGTTAGAATCTTGTTATGAAAGAGGAAACACTTCATCTAATATTTTTTCTGATCTCTATGATGGACAAGTGTGGAAAACTTTTAAAAATGATCAAAACGAATTTTTTTTTCAAAAAAGTTTTGCATAAAACTAATATTGGCTTTGCAATTAATATTGACTGGTTTAAAGTTACTAAATATACAGTTTATTCAATTGCTGGAGTTTATTTAACTATTTTAAATTTGCCATGTCATCTAAGATATAAAAAAGAAAACACAATTTTTGTTAGTCTTATTCCTGGACCAAAAGAACCACCAACAGAAAAAATTAATTTATATTTAGATCCATTAGTTGATGAGTTTAAACAATTATGGGCTGGTCAATCATTTGCAACTATGAAATACCCAGCCAGAAGAATGTATTATGGAGCTTTAATTTTAGTTTCATGTGATACACCAGCAAGAAATAAAATTTGTGGATTTTCTAGTCATTCTTCTAAACATGCATGTTTTAAATGCAGAAAACTTTTTAAAACTAATGATACTTCAAACCAATCAAATATTAACAATTATACTTTACGAACTATTGAAGAACATAAAATAATAGCTGAGAAATGGAAATATTCTGTATCTAGTGAGTGTAAACAGTTGTTTGATCAATATGGTATTCGATAGTCAAGTTTTCTTCAATTATCATATTTTGATCCAATAAAATTTTCTGTTTTTGATCCGATACATAATATTTTTCTTGGAACAGCTTATAAAATGATGAAAATTTGGACAATAGAAACTGATTTAATTTCAAAAAATCAACTTATTAATATTCAAAATATTGTTAATAATAGTCCACCACCTGCTAGTATTGGAAGAATTCTATATAAAATAGCATCTAGTTTTTCTGGATTTACATCTGATCAGTGGAAAACATGGACTTTAATATATTCAACAATGGCTTTAAGAGATATTTTACCAATTCAAGATCAAAAAGTATGGTCATATTTTGTAAATGCAGTATCAATTATGTCACAACAAATAATTACAACTGAAGAAATTAATCATAGATATAGTTTATTTATAAAATTTTTAAAAGAATTTCAAAAATTATATGGTTCTAATATAATAACACCTAATATGCATTATCATTTACATTTAAAAGATGATATATTAAATTATGGTTCTTGGTATAGTTATTGGTGCTATGCTTATGAAAGGTTAAATAGACAAATTGCAAGTTTTTATACTTCTAGAAGAACTATTGAATTGGATATGCTTAATTATATAAATCAACAAATTAAAATTTATAGACTTTTAGATCAAATAAAACCAACATTAGCATCAACTGCACAAGCTTCTTTAGATTATTTACAAAATGAACAATTAGCAACATTAGCAATATATAATTATACAATTCCAAAAATAATAGAATTTCAATATTCTATTACTAATATTAATTTTTTTG